CAAACTACAGAAAAGTTGTAGAAAATGTACATTCTTTTGAATGTTATCTCCCTTCAAGTCAGTGTTTGGAATGTAGAGTCAACTGTCTTTTTTTGGAGTCAGCCTGAACCAGGTTCTTAAAATTTTCGTAATATGTGAAGTACATTGCTGGCGTAATCTACAAACAAATCCTTTGCACATGTGTCACAAGACATAAACTTAAAAAGCAATAATATTAAAAAAAGACAACCTTTCAAAGTCAGGATGTCTCCCACGAGCTTGTTATAATAAACATGTAGCTATCAATTTAAAAAAAACAAAAAACAACCCAACTACTGCCCTGGCCGGGTGGCTCTGTTATTTGGAGCAACATCCCTTACACCTACAGGCTGCAGGTATGGTTCCTGGTCAGGGCACATACTAGGTTTCAGGATCAATCCCTGCAGGTGCATGACGGGAGCTTAACCAATCGATGCTTCTCTCTCCCCCTCCTGTCCTAAAAATCAATTAAAAAATACATCTCGGGTGAGGGGGGAGAACGAAAAACTTTAAGTTAATGCTTCGGAAAAACAACATACCTAGTTACACTGTACTCCCTTGACAACTCCTCCGGGAGGTTTGGCTCCAAAGGGGTATTCTCAAAGGAGTCCAACCAGTATCACATGGCACTTATTAGAAATGCAAATTCTCGGGGCCTACCAGACTGACTTAATTAGAAACTATGGGGCTGAGAGCCCAGAATGTTTTTAACTAGCTAAGGATTCTGGATGTCGGCTCACATGCTTAAGAACAGAAGAGTTTAATGAGAAACCTCATTGCACCTAAAGATCACTATAAACAAAGGTATCCTTCCAGTAGACTAGCAGGTTTGTGCACCGCGTTTTGTTGTGTGTTCCTGACACTATTAGCAAACCCAAGAAAACTATAACCTATCAATAAATACACCAAGAAAAATAGTAATCTTTTTCCATTATTTTAAAACCCAAATTTCGTAATCTAAGAGAATACTACAGTTATGGTAACATACAGTTCTGGTTTCCACCAGTCCATTGAATTAGTAAATTTAATCATATAAAACCATAATCTTCCCTGATCCAAATGAGTAAGTGAATGCATATATATATATTTTAAGTGCGAAAGAATACTTACAAAAGAAAATTCTAAAGACAACTAATACTAAAATTAAAGACTGAATACTTATTAAAGGCAGTTAATATTAATTGGTATTTAAAAAATGCTGTTTTCCAGCTTCAACAAACGAGTTACAGAAACCAGAAATTAAAAGAGAAGCGCTTAGATTCCTATTTTAATTTTACGTACACTTTGCGTCAGATATATATACAGATTCTCCCTCCCTCGATCTCTAAAATCCAGAAACTTTAAACTTTCATTTGCCTGACCAAAAGGAGAATAAACTCCATTCTCTCATCCCGCAAGCCAGGTTCCTTCCAGACACCCCAAACATTCGCAGTAAAAAAATCTTTCAGATAGCGTGCAACCTTGTTTTGGATGAAATTGCTGTTAGAAACCAGCAAAGAATAAAACTCCAAAATAGGTAGTTATTCTTATCTTAAAGATTATTTTAACTAGTGAAATTGTGAAATGTTAATTGGGAGTGTAACAGTTGAAGGAACCTTGGGCTGCGCGTTAAGAGAACTGGATTTATTCCTCCCCTGCTGATTATTACTTGTGTCAGGCAAATGAGTTAAAGTTTCTGGATTTTAGAGATGGGGGCGGAGGGAAAGGGAGATATCTGATATATATATCTGACGCAAATGAGTTGTAGACATAAATTAAAATAGAAATCTAAGCAGCTTCTCTTTTAATTTCTGGTTTCTGTAACTCGTTTGTTGCCAGAAAGCTGGAAGAGATAAGGAAATAGCTTTGCTATTAAAAGCAGTTTTTTAAATACCAATTAATATTAACTGCCTTTAATAAAAGTATTTCAGTCTTTAATTTTATTAGTAGTTGTCTTTGGGAACACTTTTGTAAGTATTTGCTCATACTTAAAATATATATATATGCATTCACTCTCATTTGGATCAGGGAAGATTATGGTTTTATATGATTAAATTTACTAGAGAATTCAATGGACTGGTGAAAACCAGAACTATGAGATGTTACCATAACTGTATGTGTTCTCTTAGATACTGGAAATTTGAGGTTTAAAATAATGGAAAAAGATTACTATTTTCTTGGTGTATTTACAATGATAGGTTATAGTTTTCTTGGGTTTACTTTAAATAGTGTCAGGAACACACAACAAAGCCTTGGTGCACAAACCTGCTGTCAGTATACTGGAAGGATAAGGCTCTTTGTTTATAAAGAATTGATCTTTAGGTTAATAGAGGTTCCTCATTAAACTCTTCACAGTTCTTAAACATGAGCCGACATCAGAATCAGCAAGAGGGCTAGTTAAAACATTCTGGGCTCTCTAGCCCCATAGTTTCTAATTAAGTCAGTCTGAAGTAGGCCCTGAGAATTTGCATTTCTAATAAGTGCCATGTGATACTAGTTGGCAGGCCTCCCTTTGAGAATACCCCTTTAAGAAGGGAACCAAACCTCCCAGAGGGTTGTCAAAGTACAGTGTAACTTAGGTATGTTGTTATTTACGAAGCATTGAAATTACCTCCTAAGGTAGTTTTTTCGTTTTTTTCCACCCTCACCCAAGGATATGTTTTTAATTGATTTTTAGAGAGACAGGAAGGGGGAGAGAGAAGCATCGATTGGTTGCCTCCCGTATGCACCCCTGCAGGGATTGATCCTGAAACCCTAGGTATGTGCCCTGACCAGGAACCATACCTGCAGCCTGTAGGTGTAAGGGATGTTGCTCCAAATAACAGAGCCACCCGGCCAGGGCAAGTAGTAGTTGGGTTGTTTTTTTGTTTTTTTTTAAATGAGTGATAGCTCATTAGTTTATTATAACATCGTGGGAGACATCCTGACTTTGAAAGTTGTCTTTTTTTTAATATTAATTGCTTTTTAAGTTTATGTCTTGTGACACATGTGCAAAGGATTTGTTTGTAGATGCGCCACAATGTGACTTCACATATTACGAAAATTTTAAGAACCTGGTTCAGGCTGACTCCAAAAAAAGACAGTTGACTCTACATTCCAAACACTGACTTGAAGGAGATAACATTCAAAAGAATGTACATTTTCTACAACTTTTTCTGTAGTTTGTACATTTGTCCAACATAACACATCAATCCAAGTGTAAAAGTAACTTACATGTCATGCCTAAACTGGTCTGTTTTAAAAAATGTTATAGTTAAAATTTTAGAGTTACAGTATCTGTTCCCTTGCTGTAGTTACTTATATATAATTGATTCGTGGAACACTTTAAATTCAGCTTTATTTATTTATTTTTAGAGGGCGAAGGGAGGAGAAAGAAGGAGAAAAGCGTTGATGATGTTGCCTCTTGTACATGGCCTGAACAGGGACCATCCCCTAACCAGGGACCAAACCCACAGCCTAGGCATGTGCCCTGACTGGGGATCAAGCTATTACTTTTTGCTTTGCGGGATGAGCCCAGCCTACTGAGCCATACCAGTCAGGGCTCAGCTTAAAATTTTTTAGTTCACTGACATTTGGAGATGAGAATAAAACCTTATGGTTGAATATTGAAATGTGAGTGCAGGTAGTTCGTTCTTACTTACTCAAAGACCTACAGTCTAATAGTAAATCTTATTTTCACTGATGGCACACAGTAAATCTGTTGTGAATGTTGACTTAGAATTCATTCTTGGAATTAGCCAGATACACTAGTATATAAATACAGTGGTACCACAGAAACAAATTTTTTAAGAAGCATAATTTTTCAAATGCTTTAATGGCATTAAATATTCAGTAGCCATAAAATTTATTTTTTTCTTTCATCTTTGGTTTTTCATTCAGTGAGTGGGATAATGTGCTCCTTGTTTAAGGCATCCTTACTCGTTACTGTAGAACCTTTCAGGTTTTGTGGTTTGTTGACTGACTGGTTTTGAGACTAGATGTTACCTTAGGCATCTTCATGGTAGACCATTTTCCTTCATTCTGTATTGTAGGAAAAACTACATGGACTTAAAATTTAAAAACCCATGAATTTGCTTACCTTCATTAATCTTGATATGAAATTTGCTTACTACTTTATTTCTGTTGGCCTGATTTTTCTGTATTTCCCTTGTCCAAACTCGTTATCAAGATGAATGTTTGAATTTAGACCTTATATGAGACCCTGAAGGAGGGAATACATGTGCATATTTTAATTTTAGTTATCTACTTACTGATTTTGAAGAATTGTGGAGACAGTCCCTGGTAGAGGTGATTCTGTAGAGGCTCTCCCCATCCCAGTGAATGTCATGCCTTACCAAAATGTGTTAGATGCAATGGACAGAAGTTTCTGTCTCGGGGTTTAGGGCACAACATTTCTGAGGAACTCTGACTCAATCTGTCCCTTCTCCTTTCACAGGGCAGCAAGGCGAACCCCATCCCTACTCACTGGAGCTCAGCTTTGATTTTTAACCTCCCTTCCCCACCCTTCCAGAACACACACATTCCCATTCCAAACTGATTTTATTTAAAAAAAAAAAAACCCCCAAAAACCCCCCAAAAAACCCCCAAAACCCATTTTAAACATAATGCAACTTGGTGTGCACTACTGCAAATTTACAGGTGTTTTTTTTTAATTGTTTCCAAAAACGGGACTTGGATTTAAGATGTAATTTTTAAAATTTCTATTTCTATTTTTCTGCAGCAGTTGGGTTAGAGGAGGAGTCTTTTAGCCTCTCATAAACTGACCTCTCTACTTCCTCGTGTATTTTTAAGATTGATTGATGATGTGGAAAGGGCTTTGCTTGTCTGCTACTGAGAACTTTACCCTTGCGGTTTTTGTGGAAACTGCTTTTGGAAAGAGAAAAGAAATGAACTTTACTGACTTGACATTTTTGCACCTCCCGTTTTTCTAATCTGGGCTATTTTTATTTTTGTTTTTTTACAGTGAGATTTTTTTGATCTTCAGCTACAGTAAGTTATTCCAATTTTTTTTTAACATTTTTCCTGACTTTCCGCTGATTTCCTTTTTATTGTTGTTACTAGTTACTATTATTTATTATTATTATACTTATGATGGTGATGATGATGATGATAATGACTGATGATTTTTAACCCGATTAAAATCCAGTTTTTCTGAATGTTCATAAGAATTTCTCCGGCCTCCTAATTGACTTTGGAGTTTTGCATCTTGGGAGAGAAAGTGAAGGCATTAGCATTTTTAAGTGGATTGATCACGTAAACCTTTTCTCTCCCAACCCCACCCTTGCCCTCATCCCCTCCCCCACGCTCGAAAGAATTTTACTGGCTGTTTAAGTCTGTGATCTTATTTTTCCTGATCTTTAACTTAACTGTTTTAGAGCATCTCTGGACGTCTGTATTTTTAATTTTTTTATTTTTGTTTTTTTTATTTTTAATCTTTCATTTGTTAAATTTTTAAACTGTGCTTCAATAAAATGTGTGTGGTACTACTTAACACCTATGATGGTGATGGCATTTTCCCAGAAAGCCATCTTCCTCCTGTTACCCTTGAAATCCCATCCTGCTTTTCCTGTACACTCCCCCTCACAAACCACAAGCTGCAGCAACATGGATGCCCAGCCTGGAGCAGCAGCAGCCAGGATGACCTGGAGCCAGGGGGGCCTTCGGAACAGATGCACACCCTTCCTGGGTGATGGTAAGAGGTGTGAGGTCCACTGGTTTCATTGCGAAGACTGGGAAATACACCAGTGTAAGTTTAGTTGATGAGATGTAGGTGATAGCTTCTGGGAATGTTAGGGTTAATCCCTGTGTGTGTATCTGGAGAGATGTTTCCAACAGAGGCCACTTCAGTTTTTTGTAAACTAATGGAATTAGGAGTATCTAGTTAACTTGGGCTGACAGATTTTTTGATACTTGAAAAAGCAGCTGTTGGTTTACATATACTTAATGAAATGGCTTGCTTTAATGATTAGCAACAAAGTGGTTCTTTAATTTTTTGCCATTGCAAATTAATAATTTTCTACCATTTAGAGTAGTCTGTCTTGGGTTTGTGACAACAATTTTGGATTGGATTCTTTTGAGACTTTATTAAAATTTAACATGAATCAAACCACAAGCTTGCTGTAATATTAAAATGCTGTCTCACTGGAAGGTTTTTTTTGTTTTTTGTTTTTTTTTTAAAGAAAAGGATAGGAAGGCTTTTTAACCTCACAAAGCAGGGAAGTTTCTTTAATTTTTGTATCCAGATCTGGGAAGATGGAGGGTTCATCTCTTTCAGTGATGTCTTGTGGCCCAGCTAGATATTGAACAATAAAGTGTGTTCCTGAGGGTGATAGGAAGGAATGAATTTGGTCTAGTCACAGGAGTGATGCAGAGATTAATAAGATTTTGGATAGCTAAAGAGTTAAGAATTTTTGCAACCTGTACTGTTTTACTGACAACACTGGAATATTTTAATAACTAATTTTAATAGATTTTTGAACTGGGGCAAAATGATTTTTAAAGGCATAGTGCTGTGGTACTAGAATCACGTACTTCCCTTACTCGTACTGAAATGGTAAAATCTAGTTAAAGTGAACACTGAAGGCAGCCTCAAAGGAAAACAGAAATGAGAAAAAGTAAAATTTCCTGAGGTTATCTGGAAAAGGTATGGGAATTTCTCTTTTACAGGACCAAGTTTTATTAATGCTGTCTATTCTATGAAATCTCTTTCTACTGTGCTATTTTATTGTGTGGCTGCTGTTCACTGTAGGTTTAGTTTATTACTAATTCTACGAATGCATTATTTTATGGGTCATGTTCTTCTGGTTCTAGGGAAACAAAAGGTGTAATAGTTCTTTATGGACTTGGCCTAGAGAGAGTGAGATGAATGGGGTTTGTCATGTGATTAGAGGGAAGTACAGAACCTATAGAAGCATGCGGAAATGGGTACCTAATTATTAAGAGGTCAGGAAATGCTAAGAGAAAGGGAGCTGAAATGAATTTTAGAGAAGGCCAGAAAATAAATGTTTTAATGCCATGCCAAGGAGTTTTATTTTATCCAGAAACTAGTGGTAAGCTACTGAAAGATTGTAAACTGGGGGGGTGACATTAGATATTTCTTAGAAATGTAATTCTGATGGTGTGGAAATGGCTTAGAGGAGAATGAGATTGGAAGTAGGTGATAAATAAGGAAAATACTAAACTGCAAGTGAGACTAATGATCCCAAAAGCAATGGTATTGGGATTAGAGAGGATGGGTAAATTTAGGAGGCGGTGGTGGTGGCTGTGATATGAGGAGTAGGAGATTTGGCCTGATGACTAGGATTCTAGCTTCTGGGATCAGGATAGTTCTTAGGTAAATGAAAGAATTAGGATTCAGAGTAGGAGGAAGCCATTTAAACAATGTTCTTCGAGATGCTCATGGACATTTGAGATGTTTATTCATTACTCAAATATTTGAGTGCTTATTTTGAAAATAATTAGGCATGTAGAGATGAACAAAATTTACTGTCCCCTGCCATCTTGGGCATTACAGACGATTAAGGAGAGAAATAAAGTGAACAAATAGCACTTTCATAATCTACCATATTTTGCCGTGTATTAATGCACCCTTGTGCAAAAATATGCATCCACATTTTTGTGTGCATTATACACGGGAGTATTATACCCGTGTATAGTGTGCATCCTTTTTTTCCCCTCAAAAATTTGGGTAAAAAATTTGCATTGTACATGGCAAAATACGGTAGTTCCGTGGCGTGAAAGAACAGGGTGAAGTGATGGTAGGGGGACCAGGTTTACAATGTGGAGGTACAAGTTTGGCGCCAGTGAAGAGAACTTAATGGAACTGACGTAGAAATTGAGATCTGTAAATGGAATACTTTGTCTGAAAGCAGGTAATGAGGGAAACAAGCCTCACAGCAAAAAAATCTTACTGGAGAATGGTCACTAAAAATGCATATGACGCTACCAAGCATAGTGTACAGGTCCTAGTCAGGCCATGTTTAAGATCTAGATTATCTGTTGAAAGACTTGGGAGAGTGGAGAGATCTGGTTTCTTTGGAATTTCCTTCTGGCTGTTTTTTGGGAAGCGTTAGTGATGAGGACAAAATACATGCAGTACAGTAAGAAGACCTATTAGAGTAGTTAATCTCTTAAAGAAAGTAATGATCCTAAGCCTGAGGTTATGTGCCCTGATTTTTCAAATGAGATTTCTTTGTATTAATGAGCAAATAATTTGAAGAGAATAGGTTGGTCAGGCTATAGGACATTACTGGTTATTTCTCTAACAACTGTTGTGTCAGGCATGATATAATTGTTTCCCAATAGAAAGGAAAGATGAAGTAGAACTTGAATTCTTTCCTTTTTGTTGTAATAATCTGGGCATTTTACCGTGTTAATTTAATCTTCATTATAACCTTATGTAAATAATATTCACATTTTGGAGATGTGGAAGTTGAAACAAAGAATTTAAATAATTACATAATAAATAGTGAAGCATGGATTTAGCCCAGACAGTTAAGCCTGCAGATTTCAACTCTTAATCATACTAGACTGATTACTTCATGTGTGAAGTATTCAGTAACCCCCAAAGATTGCTTCGGATTAAAAAAAAAAATCTTTAAAGGGTTTTTAACTAAATATTGTTGAAAATTTGATTTTTTAAAAAGATTTTATTTATTTTTAGAGAGAGGGAGAGAAACATCTGTGTGTGGTTGCCTCTCAAGTGCGCCCCCACAGGGACCTGGCCCGCAACCCAGGCATGTGCCCTGACTGGGAATCAAACCAGCAACCCTTCAGTTCACTGGCTGGCACTCTATCCACTGAGCCACAGCGCCCAGGGCTATTGTTGTATATTTTAATTCACAACACTTTAAATGGCACGAAGAAGTGACAGGTGATAAATTATTGAGGTTAGGTAGGTGTAGCTTTGTAGTATAATTTTATAGAATCTTTGGACTTGACAGCCTTCTTTTAGGGTGGTGAATGTATTTAAAAAGTTTTTTAGTTAAAAAGAAATAATCGTGTTTATGGGTTTTAGCAACGACCCTGGAGGGATGTTGCTAAATCCAGAGGTCATTTTTCAGTCCTCATCACACTTGATCTATTGGTGTGACTTAACCAGTCAAGCCACTTTTCTTCCTTGAAACATTTTTTACCTTAACGTTTTTCTTCTGTTTCTTCTCCCACTTGGAGTGTTCTGTTGTTCAGTACTTCCCCTTCTCTTTTGTTCTCACTCCCTGGGTTATTTCATTCAGTCACATGATTTTAAATATCATCTGTAAGCTGATGATCCCCACGCTTTTATCACCAGCTTGGACTTCTCTTTTGAATGACTCACTCATCTATCCAGTCAGGCTCTTGAATGTTAAGTATGTTAACTTCAAGGTCCAAAACAGGGACTCATGCTTTTCTTCTCTCATGTCATTTAGGCCAGACTTTGGTTAGCCTTGACTTTTTTGTCTTGATCTCATCTTTGGCCTTGTAAAAAAAATCTTGTCAGACTTTCCTTTAAAGTATGACAAGAATTCACCACCTAGACTGCCATTTGCTGCATTTTCAAGCCACCATTGTCTTCTGTGCATTGTTGCAATAAATTTCTTTCTTTTGCCCCTCCCCACCAATGTGTGGTAGCTAGATCAATCCTGTTTAAATGTAATGCTGGAAGTTATGTAAATGTCTAATCACTGTTGTACACCTGAAACTAATATAATTTTGAACGTTAGCTGTGCTTGCGGGGGCGGGGGGGGAGAGAAAAGAGGTATTAAAAAATGTACTGCCTGAAAGAGTTTCTGCTTGAAACTCACGTAGTAGCTGCCTATTTCAGCCTTAAAGTCAAAATTTTCATTGTGATTTACGAGATCCCCCTCCCTGTGTGATCCGATGTGCCCCTCCTCCCTTACTAATAGTATATTTTTCTCCAGCCACGCTGGCCTCTTTGCTGTGTCTTGAACACTCTAGGTGTTCCTATCTCAAAGCCTTTCCTTGGGATTTCCTTCCCCAGACATTCATAAGGTTAGGTTGTCCAATTTAAGCCCTTACTCAAAAGCCAGTCAGTGCTATTTTCCCTCATAGCCCTTCAAGCGTGTCCTTCCCTGCCCCGCCCCCGCCACCTCTAGTACACTAGCTCTTTAAATAGCTCGCCTGTTACAGAACTTTTTATTTTCTATGTAACAATGTAAAGCAATATCTGGAAAGATAAAAATGCGAAACAGCATTGATTACCTCTAGGCAAGGGAGAGGGACTTAGGAAGATGGAAGGAAACTTCTGTGTGCTTGAAGACTGATACTATAATAAGCAGCACAATGTTATTTTGCTTCTAATTAAAAAACTTTTAGAAGTATTTCAGTTTCTGGGTATATATAGTATAACTGCGGCCTCTGTCATAGCGTTTAGTAGCACTTTTGGTAGTTGAGAAACAACCACCTTAAAAGAGGTTTGGCTGTGATGAAATGAGTTAACATTTGAGGGCATAGGCTACTATGTTGCATGTGATTGGGCTGTAATCAAAATTTGCATGAACTTTAACCATTTTTTAAAAATTATATTCAGTGAGAATGCATAGCTATTTTTAAGAGGTAGCCATAACAGACTACATGGACATGTGACTTTTTCCTTCCTGCCTAATCTGATTTTCAATTTCACCAGTTCGAAATATTCTTCCTGTTTCCCATTTAGATTAATCTATGGCTTTTGAATTGATTTTAGAAATGATG